ATGACCACTCTTCGGGTGCTGCTGCACATAGCCGCTCGGCGCGACTACGAGCTTCACTCTCTTGACTTCAGCACAACTTTCTAGCAGGGCAGCCTGCACGAGGAGATCTGGCTGCGCCGCCCACCTGGCTTCACTGGGTCGTTTCCTCATGGTACCTAGTGCCTCCGGCGGCCAGTCTACGGTCTCCGCCAGGCGCCCCGTGAGTGGCACGAAACACTGAGGACTACACTTGCGGCTCTTGGGTTTGCTCCTTCTACTACCGACCCGTCGCTGTTTCTGCGCACCGACACCTCTCTGCCGCCGTTCTACGTCCTCGTGTATGTCGACAACTTGGTCTTTGCCACTGCTGGACTCGCCCACTTGAAGTCCGAGCTGTAGAAGAGACACACGTGCATTGACCTGGGTGAACTGCAGAGCTACCTTGGCTTGCAGATCACCCGGGACAGAGCACAGCACACCATTACCCTGACTCAGTCACACATGGTGCAGCAGGTCCTTCAGCGCTTCGACTTCACGTACTCCTCGCCTCAGGCCACTCCTCTGTCTACCCGCCACTCGCTCTCAGCTCTGCCTTCGGATGAGTCCGTAGAGCCGAGTGGCCCGTACCCAGAGCTTGTTGGCTGCCTCATGTACCTGATGACCTGCACACGACCTGACCTAGCATACCCTCTTAGCATCTTGGCACGCTATGTTGCTCCTGGGAGACACCGACCAGAGCACATGGCTGCAGCTAAGAGGGTGTTGCGCTACTTGTGCAGTACGTCGGGCATGGGGCTAGTGCTTGGAGGGCAACGTCCAGTGGTCCTCACAGGTCACGCAGATGCTTCTTGGGCTGACGACCAGGCTACGCAGCGGTCGTCACAGGGTTACACCTTCAGCCTTGGCTCCAGCTCTGTTTCGTGGTGGTCTACCCCCTCGTCTTCCGTTCTTGGCTCCAGCTGTGAGGTTGAGATCTACGCGGGGGCCATGGCTGCACAGGAGCTACGCTAGCTCACCTACCTGCTGACTGACCTAGGAGAGCCGCCTTGTTCTCCTCCAGTTCTGTACGTAGACAACAAGGCCATGCTGGCCTTGTGTCGGGAGCACAGACTGGAGCACAGAACGAAGCACATTGCTCTTCGCTACTTCCTTGCTCTGAGCTGCAGCAGCACGGTCAGCTGCGCCTTGCTTACGTGGCCTCTGAGGCCAACACTGCTGATATCTTTACCAAGGCACTTCCGCCTTGTGATCATCAGCGCTTTTGTACTATGCTAGGTCTTGTGCCTACTTGGCCTCACTTGCTCACTTCTTGACTTTGCTTGTACTGTGATCTATATATACCTGCACTTGCATGCTTACCCTTGCTAGGTTGAGATCACTGCCTTGTTTGTTCATCTTGATCTATAACTCTGCATATGAACTGGCCTTGTGCTTGTGCTCAGATTGTGTGGTGACGTTGTGATCCACCTTGAGCTTGCCTTGCTTCTCTTGGGTGGTCTAGTGACCTCTTTTTCTCCCCCACTTTGCCTATGGGGGTGTGCCAAACTTATATGCTATAGTCTTTGTAGGCTGTAGTGGGGTAGCTCATATGGGGTACAACACTTTAGGGTTTCCTACTTGTACTCCTCATGCTTCTCAATGCAATCATTCCTCATTTCTTCACACCACTCACTCATCTTCTGTGCTTAGCTCCAGGTGTGAGGACGAGATATACGCTATGGCTATGGCTAGGAAGAAGTTACGCTGGCTGACCTACTTGCTAACAGAGTGTTGCTTCTCTTGACTGGTATTATGACAGTTTATTATGCTTGTTGTCCCCCACCTAGCCTATGGGGTTATGTCAAATTACAAATATTTTTGTTAGGCTTTAGTAGGGCACACCATATGGGCACATGTCATAATAACGAATAGGGATGGATGAACTAGCCGCAAGATGCGTACAAGTAGGAAACCCTAATTGGGTTGTACCCCATATGGGCTACCCCACTACAGCCTACACAATAAGCAGCATATGAGTTTGACACACCCCCATAGGCAAAGTGGGGGAGAACAAGAGGTCATAAGACCAGTCAAGAAAGACACAGCAAGCTCAGGGTGGATCACGAAGTCACCACGCATTTTGAGCACAAGCAAAAGGCCACAAGGCCAGTTCACATGCAGAGTTAAACGTATAGGAGAACAAGCAGTACACTGATCACAACCTAGCAAGTGTAAGCATGTAGGTATAAGTATATAGATCATAGTACAGGCAAAGTCAAGAAGTGAGCAAGTGAGGCCAAGTAGGCATAAGGCCTAGAATAGTACAGAAACGCTGATGATCACAAGGCTTAAGTGCCTTGGTGAAGATATCAGCAGTGTTGGCCCAAGAGGCCACGTAAGCAAGACGAAGCTGACCACGCTGCTACAGCTCTCGAGCAAGGAATTAGCGCAGAGCAATGTGCTTTGTTCTGTGCTCTAGTCTGTGCTCCTGACACAAGGCAATCATGGCCTTGTTGTCGACGTACAAAACTGGAGGAGAACGAGGCGGCTCTCCCAAGTCGGTCAGCAAGTATGTAAGCCAGCGTAACTCCTGTGTAGCCATGGCCCCTGCGTAGATCTCATCCTCACAGCTGGAGCTGAGAACAAAAAAGACGAGCGGGTGGACCACTGCGAAATAGAACCGGAGCCAAGTCTGAAGGTGTAACCCTGTGACGACCGCTGCGTAGCCAAGTCGTCAACCCAAGAAGCATCTGCGTGACCAGTGAGGACAACTCGAGCCCGTCCTCCAAGCACGAGCCCCATGCCCGAAGTACTGCACAAGTAGCGCATCACCCTCTTAGGAGCCTTCCAGTGCTCTGGTCAGTGACTCCCGGGCGCGACGTAGCGTGCCAGGATGCTAAGCAAGGTCAGGTCGAATGCAGGTCATCAGGTACATGAGGCAGCCCACAAGCTCTGGATATGGGCCACTCCGCTCTACGGACTCATCCAAAGGCAGAGCTGAGAGCGAGTGACCGGTAGGCAGAGGAGTGGACTGTGGCGAGGAGTACTGGAAGTCGAAGCGCTGAAGAACCTGCTACACCATGTGTGACTGAGTCAAGGTAATGGTGCGCTATGCTCTGTCTCGGGTGATCTGCAAGCCAAGATAGCTGCGCGGTTCACCCAGGTCTGTGCACGTGTGTCTCCTCTGCAGCTCCGACTTCACGTGGACCAGTCCAGCAGTGTCAGCAGTGGCAAAGACCAAGTCGTCGACGTACACGAGGATGTAGAACGGCGACAGCAAAGTGTCGGTGCGTAGAAACATCGACGGGTCAGCAGTAGAAGGAGCAAACCCAAGAACCGCAAGAGTCGTCCTCAGTGTGTCGTGCCACTCGCGAGGCGCTTGGCGGAGACCGTAGACTGGCCGGCAGAGGCTCCACTGGGTATCTGCAGGAAACGACCCAGTGAAGCCAGGAGGGCGGCGCTTTCTTGTGTTCTTGTGTTCTCTCTACTTGCGCTCTCACAGGGCAAATTGGCATGAGTTTCACTAGCAGAAGGACTACACAATAATGATGGAAAATGGCAATGATAACAAAAACTACATCAGAGCATAGCATCCCAGCACACAGGCAGGTCGACCTCTAGCATAGTACGGGGCCGCCTGCCAGCACTTCAAGTCAGCACTGCGCCAACACAGCTAGGAGAAGGCTTGTTAATATTGTAAGTCGGCCACCTACCAACGCAACACCAAGGCAGCTTGCCAACTGTCAGACTTATATGGTTTAGCCTATGTAGGCTATAGTGGGGTAGCACATATGGGGTACAATATTTCTAGGGTTTGTACTTGTACCCGACCTTCCCACTAGTAAATCATTCCTCATTTCTTCACATAGTATAGAGCAGGTTCCCTAGTGGGAACGTTTCCTAGGGCCCACCACGAAATCGATTTTTTTTTTTTACCTGCCCGGAGCGCGCTTCACTCCTGCCCGAGTCGCGCCCCGTGTGCCCTCCCTCCCGTCGCGTCCCTAGCCTTAGCGGCCCGTCGCGCCCTCCTAAGGCCCCTCGCGGCCCCTCTCACGGCCCCTCGCGGCCCCTTACGGCCCCTCGTGGCCCCTTCGCGGCCCCGTCGCCACCATCCGCGGCACTGTCGCCGCCCTTCGCGGCCCCATCGCCGCCCTCCGCGGCCCTGTCGCCGCCCTTCGCGGCCCCGTCACCGCCCTTTGCAGCCCCGTCGCCGCCCCTCACAGCCCCATCGCCGCCCTTCACGGCCCCTTCCGGCCCCTCCGCGGCCCCGTCGCCGCTCTCCGGCCCTGTCGCCGCCCTTCACGGCCCCGTCGCTGCCCTCCACAGCCCTGTCGCCGCCCTTCGCGGCCCCGTCGCCGCCCTCCGCGGCCCTGTCGCCGCCCTTCACGGCCCCGTCGCCGCCCTTTGCGGCCCCTTGTGGCCCCTCCTTGGCCCCGTCACCGCCCTTCGCGGCCCCTCAGGCCCCTTCTCGGCTCCCCTCACGGACCTGCCGCCCCACCGACGCCGCCCCTGCAACAGCAGCCGTCGCCGCCCCTGCAGCGGGAGCCACCACCGCCGGTGCCGCCGACAGCAACGGCCGCCGCCGTTACTCCCGGGGCCGCAGCCGCCACCAGCAGCAGCTGCCGCCACCACAGCCGGGACCGCAGCCGCCGCAGCCGCTGACTGCAGCCGCCGGTGTGCCTCGGCCCTGCAAACGCGCCTCGACCTGTCCCTGCCGATGCGCCTCGGCCCGTCCCTGCCGGCGCGCCTCGGCTCTGCCTGCGCGCCTCGGCCCGTCCCTGCCGGTGCGCCTCCGCCTTGCCCCACCATTTGCGGCCTTCTGCTCTGGTAAGAGAATCGCCACGCTGCGCCCCTACCGCTGTCATTGCACGCTACTCTTCCCCTGCCACTGCTGCCCTTAGCCGCCTCATGCTGCCGTACCTATTTCCTGACCTCGCCGCCTTTCCCACAGTCGCTGACCTCATTACGCACCTTCGCACTAGTAACACCCGCTACCGCGCTGCGCTTCCTGCTGAGTTCTGCGCCAAGAACCCCCCCCCCCCATGTACATCACCATCTACTACATAGTCACCCGGCTCCCTGACTCCCTTCGCTCGGTCAGAGACCACTTCCTCTCTGTTTGCCCCACCACACTCACCGTTGACCTCCTAGAGGAGCGCCTCCTAGCAGCTGAGAAGAGTATAGTCGCTGTAGGAGCCTCTCGTGGTGACCCTCGTGCCCCCTTCTTTGAGGGGTGCCCCCCCTCCCCCCTTTTGCCCTCTGTTGCCTCTGCTGTTGCCGACTACTTCGTTGGCATCGAGTCGGTTGGCGCTGCGTCTGCCCCTAGCGGGAGACGCCGCACCGGCAAGGGCAAGGGGGGCAAGGGCGCTGGAGGGGCTGGCAGGGGTGGTGGAGGTGGCGGTGGAGGCGGCGGAGGGAGTGGGGGTGGCAGTGGGGGTGGTGGCGGGGGTGGGGGCTTCGGTGGCGGCGGTGGAGGCGGAGGCGGCGGCGGCGGCGGTCGCGGTGGGAGCGGAGGAGGTGGTGGTGGCGGCGGTGGCAGAGGTGGCGGTGGTGGAGGCGGAGCTGGTCGGGGTGGCTCTACGCAGCGGGGCGGCTTCGGTGGTGGTCAGCGCCAGCAGCAGCAGCGCACTCGTGAGACCCCGCCCCCCCATCAGCTTCGTGAGTGGTACGCTGCGCGTCAGCAGGGCGGGGGTGCTGGTCCTTGTGCCTACGTCCTGCGTACCGGCGACCGCACTGGTGAGCTGTGAGGTGGCCCGCACACCACCCTGCGCTGCTTCGGCCGCCTGACGGCTCCAGTTCCCTGACGCCACTGAGATCCCCCGTTGGGGCGAGCTGCTTAGGTCGGGGGTTGCTATCTTTCATCTGGATTATGATGCTATTCTTTCTACCATGTATGTTGTGTCTACTAGTGATGAGGGTGACTGTTACCTGTGTGTTCCGCCTGACCCGGGCATTGAGGCTGCTGCTCTAGGTGCTGGTGAGGCTGCTGCTCTAGGTGCTAATGCGTCTGCTGCCCCAGGTGCTGGTGAGTCTGCTCTCTCAGGTACCACGTCGGCTCAGGCCGTACACACCTTCACCCTTGACTCGGGTGCTTCCCGCTCCTTCTTCCAAGACCGCACCATGCTTACGCCGCTTAGTCGGCCGGTTGCGGTCTCTCTGGCGGACCCCTCTGGGGGACCCCACTTCTCCACTGTCTTACCGTGTCCAGTGGCCCCCTCTGGCACCCTATCAGGTCTCTACCTCCCCTCATTCTCCACGAACTTGGTGAGTGGAGCTGATCTACAGGATGGTTGGGTTGACCAATTCACTCCAGCGAGTCAGCGAGTGACCCACTGTACGTGTGCTCGGACGGGCCGACACTTGGCCACGTTTACCCGTCAGCCGGGGTCGAGCCTATACACACTGACTACTGAATCTTCCCCGGTTGCTGAGTCTGGTCAGGTAGCTGCGTCGGGTCAGGTGTTTGCTGCAGCGTCCAGGTCTGGTCCTGAGTCTGCTCCCTGCTCGTGTCGTCTCCTGTCTCACCAGACTCTCCTCTGGCACCACTGCCTTGGTCACCCCTCCTTGCCTCGTCTCCGAGGCATGGCCTCCCGTTACCTTGTCTCTGGTCTCCCGTTGATCGACTGGATCCGCGCAGCTCGTCTCCCGCTCCGGGAGAGTTTCGGCTCGGACTTTCCTGTTCTGCGTCAGCACTCTGACAGAGGCTGGGAGTTTTCCTCTGGCCTTCTCGGAGCCTTCTGTCATGGACAGGGCATCCGCCAGACGTTCACGCTTCCAGCCTCTCCACAACAAAATGGGATTGCTGAGCGCCGCATTGGCATGGTCATAGACGTCGCTCGTACGTCCATGATCCATGCGGCTGCTCCCCATTTTCTGTTGACGTTTGCGGTTCGGTACGCGGCGCATCAGATCAACCTTCACCCCAGGGTCTCCCTGCCAGAGACCTTCCCCACCTTGCGGTGGACGGGGAAGGTTGGCGATGCGTCTGCGTTCCGTGTCTGGGGATCTCGGGCGTTTGTCCGCGACTTGTCTGCGGACAAGCTGTCCCCCCGTGCTGTTCCCTGCGTCTTCCTTGGCTTCCCCCCCTGACGCGCCTGGTTGGCAGTTTTACCACCCCACTTCGTGCCGTGTTCTGTCCTCCCACGACGTCAAGTTTGACGAGTCGGTTCCTTACTACCGTTTCTTCCCTCCCCCCGCCGCCGCTCTTCCTCGCGCCAGGTCCCCCCCCGGTAGACCTTCTCCCCCCTCAAGGTCCTGCCCCATCAGGTGTGTCCCAGGTAGACGTGGTCAAGCCTATCAAGGTAGCTGTTGACTCTGGTGCTGCTAGGGGTGTTGAGCCTGCGGGTGCGCGGCCTCGAGGTGCTGAGTCTGGGGGTGCTGAGCCTGGGGGTGCGGAGTCTGGGGGTGCTGAGCTTGGGGGTGCTGAGCCTGGGGGTGCGGAGCCTGGGGGTGCTGGGTCTGGGATTCCTTCGGGTGCTTTGCCTCGGCGGGAGTTACCCTCTCCACAGGAGCTGCGCGAGTGGTTTGCCAGGCGCTCGAGCCGTGCTGCTGGAGCTGGAGATGCTGCTGTTGCTGCTGACCCTGCGGTCGACACTGGAGGTGCTGGAGCCCCTGGTCCTGGAGGTGCTCGTACTGGCGGTACTGGAGCTGCTTGGACTGGGGGTGCTGCTGGGGCTGCTGGAGGTGGCCCTGCTGGAGGTGCTGCTGGTGCTGCTGGAGGCGCGGGAGCTGTTGGTGCTACTGGGGGTGCTGGAGCTGGAGGTCCAGCTGGCGCTGGTGCTTCTGAGGGTGCTGGAGTTGGCGCTACTGGAGATGGAGGTACTACTGGCGCTGGTGCTACTGCTGGGGTTGCTGCTGCTGTCCCTGCTCTTTCTGGAGGCGCTGAGTGCCGCGGCCATACTTCGCTCCGCTCCTTGAGCAGGTTCTTGGTCTCCCGCCTTCTACTGGTCCTCCTCCCTTAGAGTGTCCAGAGCCTGTCCATTCGCAGTCACAGTTACAACCCGCCTCACCACTGCATGCTCCTTCTCCCTACACTGGTCCTACTAGAGGTCTTGCTGAGCGTCGTGAGCCTGCGTCTCGTCCTGCGTCGCCTGTTCGTTCTGCTCGCACTAGTCGTCGTGTTCCGTGTCCGCATCCTCCTGCGGTCCCGGGCACGCACCAGATGGCACTACGACCTTCCACTGCTCCGCAGCGTGTCCCTTTGCCGTCTCCTCCTGATTCCTCTCTTCCTGCCCTTGCTGACCCGGAGTCTGACTCCCTTCTTGCTGCCAGTCCTACTGTCACGCGTCTTCTGGCTACTGTTGTCACTGACCCTTCCTTTTTGTCCACTGCTACGTCTGCCTTAGTTGCTGAGCTTGTCGACTTCGCTGCTCACTGTCGTTTAGACTACGCCGCGTGTCTTGTTGCTGAGTCTGAGTTTGTCTGTCCTCCGTCCGTCGGGGGTGAGTGTGCTCTTAGCACGGACGTCCTTGAGGACAGGCAGGAGGAGTTCCAGTGTTTTGCTGCTGCTTTGCCTCATCTCGTGTCCATGCTGATTGCCCCTGAGGGAGACCCGGATGCACTAGACATCCCGACTCCTCGATCTTACGCTGAGGCGATCAAGGGTCCCTACTCCTCACAGTGGCAGTCAGCCATGGACGGAGAGATGGCTTCTTGGAAGTCCACAGGCACCTACGTCGACGAGGTTCCCCCACCTGGGGCGAACATCGTCAGTGGCATGTGGATTTTCAGGGTGAAGCGGTCGCCGGGTTCTCCGCCTGTCTTCAAGGCGCGTTACGTGGCTCGAGGCTTCAGTCAGCGGCAGGGAGTTGACTACTTTCATACCTTCTCTCCCACCCCGAAGATGACCACTCTTTGGGTGCTGCTACACATAATCGCTCAGCGCGACTACGAGCTTCACTCTCTTGACTTCAGCACAGCTTTCTTGCAGGGCAGCCTGCACGAGGAGATCTGGCTGCGCCGCCCACCTGGCTTCACTGGGTCGTTTCCTCCTAGTACCCACTGGAGCCTCCGGCGGCCACTCTACGGTCTCCGCCAGGCTCCCCGTGAGTGGCATGACACACTGAGGACTATACTTGCGGCTCTTGGGTTTGCTCCATCTACTGCCGACCCGTCGCTATTTCTGCGCACCGACACCTCTTTGCTGCCGTTCTACATCCTCGTGTATGTTGACGACTTGGTCTTTGCCTCTGCTGACACTGCTGGACTCGCCCACGTGAAGTCCGAGCTACAGATGAGACACACGTGCACAGACCTGGGTGAACTGCGCAGCTACCTTGGCTTGCAGATCACCCGGGACAGAGCACAGCGCACCATTACTCGGACGCAGTCACACATGGTGCAGCAGGTCGTTCAGCGCTTCGAATTCACGTACTCCTCGCCTCAGGCCACTCCTCTGTCTACTCGCCACTCGCTCTCAGCTCTGCCTTCGGATGAGTCCGTAGAGCCGAGTGGCCCGTACCCAGAGCTTGTTGGCTGCCTCATTTACCTGATGACCTGCACTCGACCTGACCTTGCATACCCTCTTAGCATCTTGGCACGCTATGTTGCTCCTGGGAGACACTGACCAGAGCACATGGCTGCAGCGAAGAGGGTGTTGCGCTACTTGTGCAGTACGTCGGGCATGGGGCTAGTGCATGGAGGGCGGCGTTCAGTGGTTCTCACAGGTCACGCAGACGCTTCTTGGGCTGACGACCAGGCTACGCAGCGGTCGTCACAGGGTTACACCTTCAGCCTTGGTTCCGGTTCTGTTTCGTGGCGGTCTACCCGCTCGCCTTCTGTTCTCGGCTCCAGCTGTGAGGCTGAGATCTACACGGGGGCCATGACTGCACAGGAGCTACACTGGCTCACCTACCTGCTGACCGACCTGGATGAGCCGCCTCGTTCTCCTCCAGTTCTGTACGTAGACAACAAGGCCATGCTGGCCTTGTGTCGGGAGCACAGACTGGAGCACAGAACGAAGCACATTGCTCTTCGCTACTTTCTTGCTCGTGAGCTGCAGCAGCGTGGTCAGCTGCGCCTTGCTTACGTGGCCTCTGAGGCCAACACTGCTGATATCTTTACCAAGGCACTTCCGCCTTGTGATCATCAGCGCTGCTGTACGATGCTAGGTCTTGTGCCTACTTGGCCTCACTTGCTCACTTCGTGACCTTGCATGTACTGTGATCTTTCTATACCTGCACTTGCTTGTTTACATTTATATATGAACTTGCATGTGAACTGGCCTTGTGGCCTTGAACTTGTGCTCGGAATGTGTGGTGACGTTGTGATCCACCCTGAGCTTGCTTTGCTTTGCTTGACTGGTCTTGTGACCCCTTGTTCTCCCCCACTTTGCTTATGGGGTTGCGTCAGACTTATATGGCTTAGCCTATGTAGGCTATAGTGGGGTAGCACATATGGGGTACAATATTTCTAGGGTTTGTACTTGTACACGACCTTCCCACTAGTAAATCATTCCTCATTTCTTCACACCAACACTGCTATAGGGCGGCCTGCCAGCATTGCAACCGCAAGTGACTATATGCGCATTCGTGCCCGAGTAGGTCGACGGTCGAGTACTTTGTGCCTCACACCGCTTATGCCGCAGGTCAGACTAAGTTCCTGAAATCTGCAGAGAGAGTACAGTGCGAAAGCACTCTGTCTCCCCCCTCCCCCATATTCAAACATTCCATGCAAGGTTATCACAGCAGTGCACGTACTGATCCAACACACCCCAAATGACATGGATAAAAAAAAATACCAGTTGCTCGAACTGTAGGCATTTATTTGCAGCTGCCCAATCGTATTGTCGATAATCGTTGATGATGGCTAGTTCAAGTTGTCGAACTTATATGCTATAGTCTGTTTAGGCTGTAGTGGGGTAGTCCATATGGGGTACAACACTTTAGGGTTTTCTACTTGTACTCCTCATGCTGCTCAATGTAATCATTCCTTCCTCAGATTCTCACATGGTATATAGCAGGTTCCCTAGTGGGAACGCTTCCTAAGGGCCCACCACTAAAATTTTTTCTGCCCGGAGCGCGCTTCTCTCCTGCCCGAGTCGCGCACCGTGTGCCCCTCCCGTCGCGTCCCTAGCCCTTAGCGGCCCGTCGCGCCCTCCTCGGGCCCCTAGTGGCCCCTTTCGCGGCCCCTCGCGGCCCCTCTCACGGCCCCGTCGTCGCTGCCCTTCGCGGCCACCTCGCCGCCCTTAGCGGCCCCGTCGCCGCCCTACCGGCCCCGTCGCCGCCCTGCCGGCCCCGTTGCCGACCCTAGCGGCCCCGTAGCCGCCCTAAGCGGCCCCGTCGCCGCCCTATCGGCCCCGTCGCCGACCCTAGCGGCACCGTCGCCGCCCTAAGCGGCCCCGTCGCCGCCCTATCAGCCCCGTCGCCGACCCTTGCGGCCCCGTCGCCGCCCTAAGCGGCCCCGTCGCCGACCCTACCGGCCCCGTCGCCGCCCTACCGGCCCCGTCGCCCCCCTAAGCGGCCCCGTTGCCGACCCTACCGGCCCCGTCGCCGCCCGACCGGCCCCGTCGTCGACCCTCGCGGCCCTGTCGCCGCCTTAAGCGGCCCCGTCGCCGCCCTACCGGCCCCGTCGCCGACCCTAGCGGCCCGGTGGCCGCCCTCAGCGGCCCCGTCGCCACCCCTAGCGGCCCGGTCGCCGCTCTTCACGGCCACGTCGCCGTCTCTACCGGCCCCTTCAACGCCGCCAGTAGCCCAGCAGCCGAGGCGCCCAGCAGCCGAGCCGCCGAGCCGCCCAGCAGCCGATCCGCCGAGCCGCCGCGCCGCCCAGCAGCCGAGCCACCGAGCCGCCGCACCGCCCAGCAACCGAGCCGCCGAGCCGCCGTGTCGCCCAGCAGCCGAGCCGCCGAGCCGCCCAGTAGCCGAGCCGCCGAGCCGCCCTTCCTTCCGGCGTGCCCCGGCCCTACTTCCTTGGACTGGTGAGCTCACTCCCTGATAGACCACTGCAGACATGGCTACCCCCAGTGTCCTTACCTTTGATACTCAGGGTCGTGCTGTTGACTTTGAGGTCTGGGTCGATGACCTCCAGCTGTTCTTACAATGCGATAGGGCGGACGGACTCTCACTATTCGATCTCACCTCTCGTGTCTCTCCTACCCCGCCTGCTACTGCTGAGAGCACTGTTCGCTCACAGTGGGCCACGCGCGATGCTGCTGCACGTCTTGCTGTGCGTCGCCACTTACCGACCACTAAGCGTGCGCAATTTAGCCAGTACAAGAGTGCTAAGACCTTGTGCGATGCTGTAGTTGCACGCTACTCTTCCCCTGCCACTGCTGCGCTTAGCCG